TTCCATCCGTGTACTACGAGCAACCCGCCGCTGCTCTTCGCCGATTCGAGAGTGCGAAGACTCTCAGGGGCTAAGTCCCCGTGGTACGCGCCACCCGCGCACCCATCACGAAGACTTAGTTCTTCCCCAGTAGGGCGCCCCGCCCCTACTGGTTCCCTGCGTTCCCCTGTCCCCGGGATCCTGGCTTCTGCCAGCGACCCTTGAGGACGGGCTTGGGGAAGGACCGTCTGCGGAGTCTTTCCGCGGGACAGTCGCGCTTGAAGTGGCCCATCTTCCCACAGCCGAAGCAGCGGATGTCACGCTGTTCGGCGGACCCGAGTTCCATGGGAACTGGTCCGTTGGGGCTTGTTCGACCGGGAGCCGACAAGGAACTCCCAGGCCACGCTGAGGCCGGCGTACGCGCCTGGCGATGGCTGTATTCTTCTTGAAGAGCCACTTGAATCGCCTCTTCAAGGGTGCTTGCCTGCACCCGGAACAGCTGAGTGCGTGCGGGGCCCACTCGAAGGCCGTCCATGAACACAGTCATCTTGATGTGTTCATTGAGTGGGTTTCCCACTAGGGACGCCGTGAGCTCCCGTATCTCTTGCACATACTCGTGCAGTTCGCGTCTTCCTTGTTTACACGCGAGGAAGCGCGAACGCTGGCGGTACTCGTAGTTCGCCGGGAGGAACGCGGCTCGGAGCTGTTCGCACAGCTGAGCCCAGGATGTGAAACATCCAGGGGATGTCGCTTCCCGAGTGTACACCCAACTCTTAGCACGACCGCTAAGGTTGGAGAGTGCAAAAGCAACACGCAGTTGCTCGGTCGAGATCAGAGCCGCGTCCATCGCGAGCTCTACTTCTCGGACCCAGAAGTGAAGGTTCTCGCCTTCCTTCCCTTCATACGGCTTTACCTTCAGCCGTATTGGCTTCGGGTGAGGCGGGTTTGCTTCCGCCGCCGGAGCCTGCAGGTTCTCCCGCACATGCGCGATGAGGCCCTGCTCGTACGCGTCGAATGCATTGACGCGCTCGAGCTGCTCAGCCGGTGTTGATACCACCAGGCTCTGCAGGGCCTCCATCCCGAAGATGCCTGCCATCTTCCGAACCGACTCGAACTGAGAGTCGTTCATATGGGAGAAGTCGTTCCTATCCATGGCAACGAACTTCGGAGGTTCAGGTAGTCTACCCGCGATGGCGTGGATTGACTACAAGTGCTACCAAGTGTGACGGGGTCACACAGCACCTTGCGCTAGAGGAAGTTATCTTCCGAGAGTATACAAACTCTCAGTGAACGGCAGTTCACAGGTCCCCTCTTTAATTAAAGAGAGCGAAGTGACCTAAATAAGGTAGATTGTAAACTGAGTATATTTATAGGTAGGTTAAGTTTGTGGTTAATACAAACTATCAGTTACCTATAGAAATGCAATGTCATTTAACCAATGGTTGGTTTTGAATGACCTTGGTACCTTGTACCAAATATCCCGGAGTATGACATGCACCAGGGTACACTTAGTGCTACGTACCCCGTTACAGGAATCGACCCGCCTAATGTTCATGCGTATGGTTGACCTCCTGACTTCTGTATACCGGTATGTACGAGAGATGTCAGAGGACTTTCGCTTGCGAAGGTCTAACAACTTCCATTCACTATGGATTTTAAAAACAGTGGTAAGTAATTTATTTCGACACATGGACATTACATGGAGTATTACATGGAAAATAAACTGAGTCGACGCATGGACTGTAGCATCGGCCAAAAAAATAGGCGGCGGTCTTCGTGAGTGGCTCCAAACAACCACCGCACAAAACGGACGAGCCCTGTAGATACACGTATTTTTTTGTCCAAGCACTTGTGTTCCCTAGCACCTCACCGACGCGTGCATCCAGCACGTCCATCGCTTTACTGACTTTTTACAGACTGCTCGAGATTTCCGTCCAACATACCACTATCCAAAAGCATAAATGATTTCTCGTGCAGGACCGCAAACTGTGATCGTCGATGTCAGAATCTACGCAAAACTCGGTTCGTATTATGCTTGAGAAAGGTGATCCTTTACATGAATCATTTTTTCGCCTAGGATTATGATATAATACCGGTAATTTCTCCGACGAAAACATCTTAATGGCACTGCTCAAGCACTATAATATCAACCTTTACGTGCTCTGGAGGCGTCTCAAAAGCATCGATTTCTTGACGGTGAAACTTTCACTGAAAGAGGATTTTTTTAATAATAATAGATTTCGACAGGTCAATCTTACAAATTGGAGATGTTTATGAGACGTGCACTCTTGGGCAGGTGATGGTGGCTATGATCATGTGGGACTACGGCGGTCGTGTGTTGCCTTGACAGTGTGAGCAAACATTTTACATGTACTTGATTCAGAATGCAAAATGGCTTGCTCAAGAATTCTACGCTCCAACGTACAGTGTACATGTGCATGATATAAACCGCAGCACCAGGATGACGATCCCATCGCTCGATCTTAGCGAAGCCCTCGTCTCCATTTTGCAGCGCTTTTGTCAAAAGTTTGGACGTCTCGATGGACGAACCGAAAGCCCCTTCTGATCAAGGGGTGCATGCGCATTGATACATCTCGGTACAATATCTCCCAATTTCTGAGGATTTCTACCGTTAAGAAAGCAATTCCAATCAATACGCACGTACTTTCATTCGCAACGCACCGCACAACAAACGAAACAAGTTGCAAGCTTATTAAACGTGGAGTAAAATATATTGTACGTGTTATCGCGGCGGCGTGCCTTATTTTTTATTCCCAACGTTACGAGGAATGCCGACACAATGATGCATGTATTATAGCGCGACTTCATCATTTGACCCAGTTTTACCCTCTACCAACGAGGAAATGTATATCCAACCGCCAATCCAACAAAGCCTCCCAGTCTTGGCACGACATCTCCACCGAAGTATACCACCGAATTGTCTTTCATGTAAGGCTGAAACTTAGCGGACTGCAGTAAGATACTTGAAGTAAGTAAACCGGTCTTGGGTTCCTCTGTACGAGGCAACCGGGTCATCTGGAGACTAACAAGGCGACGACGGGCAAGCCCATGCAGCAACAGTATCACCGCGCAAAAAAGATGTTGCAGCTGGTAGGTGAAGAGGGTCGAGCTCACAAAACCTGGCACCGCTTTGATGTTAGCGTGACAAGTTCAAATTTGCTGCCATGGAGCATGAAGGTTGAATTTTGGTGCTCCATGCATGCACGCGCTGTCAGACATCTCTGTGCCCCACCGCAAAGCGTGATCTGCTCCGCTGATAATAGCCATAGCCGTGCCGTTTGGACCCAGATTGATCAAAATTGGACAGTCTGAAAAACCTCCAATTCAGAAATGCAGCAGATGTCTAGAAATGGGTACTTTTGCTTTTAGAAATGTAACCGTCAGGGATTTCAGCAATTCCTTGCGGCACGTCCAAGCCCAGCTGGTCCAGCTGCTGGAGCACTGGAAGTTCCAGTCTGGAACCCGAATCGTCCTGGTGGAAAGGCCACCAGAAGGAGCTTTTGAAAGTTCAGCTCGCGTGAGAGAAGGGAGGACCATGATCGGTGGCGACCCACGTAGACAGTCCCCGTTATATTCAGACCAATCAGCCGCTCGGTCTCCGTTTCGCAGGCTTTCAGTGGTAGGCACGAAAACTCGCACTTGTTGTTGACAGGTACAGTAGTCACCCATGCTACGCGCGCCATGGCTCGGGGCGCTAATCCTCGCGACGAGCGGTGGGGTGTCGGTGCTCGCGGACTACCAGACGGTCGAAATCTTCTCGGACGCTAACTGCAAGTCGATTCCCTTTGTGGTCACTCTCGAAATGACCAACACAACCTGCTCGAAGAGTGACACGTGCAGCGCCATCGAAATCAACAACTCGTCCTACTACTACGCGGAACGATGCGCCACCGACCGGTTCGAATACACGTCGCAGCTTTTCAGTGGCGCCAAGTATCTCATGATTGACGGGTTCAAAGAAGAAGGGTGCGAGTCGTACGCAGGCTCCAACGTCTTCTTGGCCGCGGGCACCTGTCAGCTCGCTTCGTATGTAGGTGCACGCAGCGAAATCGCGACGCTCTTCAACGACGGATCAGCGTACATGACCATTTACAACGACTCGGCGTGTGCCACTAAGGCGCAGACGTTCGACCTCAAAGCGTCAACTATTCAAGAACACTCGTGTTATCAGGGTTTCAACAAGTTTTATACGTCAGACCACACAGGTATCTTCACAGGAAGCGACAGCGGCAGTGGATCCAACACCACAGCGACGTCGTCGTCGTCGCATGACTCGGACATGACTACCGGTGCGTTGTTTGGCATCGTGGTGGCGTGCCTGGCTATTGTGATTCTACCCGCCCTACTGATCTACTGGAAGATGCGTCGCCCGAAGCGAAAGGAGATGAAGGGCGGCCCTGACGTTATTAACCGGGCGCGAACGCCCGACGTCGCGTTAGCGGTTAGTGACAAGCACGAGAACGAAGAGCGATATGTACCGGAGATGTCACCCAGGAGTGACCAGAGAAGCACCTTAAGCTCGCACACGGGAGGGTCTGGCCAAGTGCTGCGTAGTAACGAGCTGAGATGCGACCCTTTGCGTAGTGATGAGCTGCGTGGTACTCCTCTCTATCGTAAGGACGAGAAGAAACGACGGAGTGACGAGCCACGCAGTGGAAACAGGCTGCGTAGCGATAGGTTTCGTGGCGATTCGATCGGCCGAAGCGGTCGCTTGCATACGGACGAGCTGCGCTCTACGCCCGTACGAGGCAATCGGATGCTACGTCAGGAAGTGAGCAAGCCGATTCAGACTGACCCCGTGCGTAGCGACCGTCTGAAGAATGAACGTCAACGCAAGGAACGGCAACGAGAGCGACACCGCGGGGATGAACCACGAAGCGACCGTAGCGATCGCGATCGAATGCCTAGTGACCCGGTACGCAGTGACCGGATGCGCAGTATCGAGCTGCGTAGCCATCGCACGCCTAGCGATCCGATACGGAGTGACAGGTCTGCGAAGCCTCAGCCCATTCATGCCCAACGACTGCGTGGGCCGGTCACGGCGGACAGCGTGTGTGAAGACGACGCCATCTTGTCGTCTCGTATCCCACGTGACAGCGTGTTTGTCGAAGACCTGATAGGTCGCGGAGGGTATGGAGAAGTGTACAAGGGTACGTATGAAGGAAGAGCGGTAGCCGTGAAGATGCTCTTCCCGGAGACGCGGAAGAGCACACGCCACGTGACGGAGTTCCTCACTGAAGTGAAGATGATGACCGTCATGGATCATCCGCGCGTCGTGCAGTTTATTGGCGTATCGTGGAACAACTTGATGGATCTGTGTGTAGTCACTGAGTTCATGGCCGGCGGCGATCTGCGCGCGTGGCTGAGTGACCGCGCAGACAACGACAGTCCCGTGGGCTTTGACTTCGCCAAGGTGAAGATCGCCACGCACGTCGTACACGCACTCGCCTACTTGCACTCTCTGTCTCCTTCAGTGATCCACCGTGACTTAAAGTCTAGGAATATTTTACTCAGTGAGAACCAGGACGCCAAACTGGCGGACTTTGGCGCGTCTCGTGAACGGGTAGACCGTACGATGACTGCAGGCGTCGGAACGTCGCTGTGGATCGCGCCAGAAGTGATGATGGGCGAGCGATATGATGACAAGGCGGACATATTCTCGTTCGGCGTGGTACTGTCGGAATTAGACTCACAGCAGAACCCGTACGCCCACGCGAAGGACAAGAACCCGACGGGGCGCAAAATGCCCGAGACAGCCATCCTCCAGCTCGTGGCGATGGGTAAACTACGCGTCGAGTTTTCTCCAGGTGCGCTAAAGGGAATTGTACAGCTTGGCACGGCGTGTACAGCGATTGACCCGACGAAGCGGCCGTCAGCAGCCGAGGCGTTCCGAAAGCTCCAGACGATTCTGGCTCAAGAGGCCAGGAAAGCAGCCAACGCGAAATGAACCTATAAGAAGAGGAGCTCTCACACTGTCTGTGAGGGGTTTTAAATCCGCTTCCGCGTTTATGAAGGCTTCGACGCGTTCGGCAGTGGTGATGCCGACGGCTTCGCTCTTTATTCTGAGCCTGCGCTGCTGCCATTGCCTCCCAGGGCTGGCATCTTATATACACCCCCTGAATAAATCTGATGTACATGTACTCGTATGAGAACTGTGTCATGATTGTTCTTTATCTTCTTAACCCGAGTCTGCGAATGAATCGCTCCATTCGATCCATACACAGAATACACGCGGCTACACATAGAATGACGTACGCTACGAGTATCCCGACGATGGCACCTGTGTTGACTCCTCCGGAGCTCTCGGCTGGCGTGACCACCACAATCTCGTTCCAGCCAGCGTCATCACTTGTAAAACTGCTAGACGGTTTACCAACGCTGTCTCGGTCGCTAGAAGCGAAGCTCCTGCTGCTACTAGAAGTAGAACGCGTACTGACTGACACGCTCGTACTCGCGTCACTCGCGTAAATGACGATGTAGTTGTTGTAACACGAGTGACTCGAGACCGTCTCGTTGTCTGGTTCATACCCGAGAAACGGAGATCCAGAGCACGAACTGTCGTTGTAGATTCCTTGACTTGCCGAACCATCTTCGTTCACTTCGGCAATAAAGTAATTGTCACCTTGATCGTCGTAGACTTTACACTCGCCTGTTGCTAGGAACGCCACAGCCCCCGAGAAATACGTGCACAGTTTGGAGTATGTCTCTATCATGACATAACTGGAGCCAGCGAACATGTCGGCTACGTAGGCATGTCGATCTGCTCTCTCGCATGTTGTTTCGGACGAGTATGTTACGCTGTCAGCAATGAAGAAGACGCACTCTACAGCTTCACAGTCGACGGAACCCACCGCCGATACCAGCACAGGAGTTCCTGAGCAGTCTTTACCCGTGTAAATGATGGTACTAGCAAAGGGTTCGGCGGGGACTGATGGGGTAGAAGCAGCAATCACAACAAGAACAGTAACGAGTGCTTTGGACTGGAAGGTGAGCGACATTGCGGTGATGAAAGCGTATACTACGTGGGTGTTCAATGAAAAGTTCGACAATAAGATCGAAGAGGGTGGACTTAAGAGGGTTACTAAATGAGCAATAGAGATTTGTTCTTTGGTTGATGCGACTAGCTTGGTGGTAGTGAAGAGGGGATGTTGCAATTCGAGTCGTCTACTTGTTCGCGAATGCTCATCTCAAGTGGTAATGTCGAGCATTAAATGAAGATTGCGCTAGAGTGCGCATGGTGATCAAGGAGTGGTTCGGGAGTGAACGAGCGTGGGGACTATGGCTGGGTGGCCACTAGCTTACTTCACGGTGCTCGAAATGGCGAAAGCAAACCTGTGGCAGCAACAGCTCGTGTGCCGATAAACTTCTGTGGCATACCATTATTTTTTTCGAAAACTTCAAGTACAAGCTCACGAATGTCGATACATGTAGCAGACAAGGAAACATAATTTAGCTAGTGCTTTCACTAAATCTGCGACATCTCGTGACGGCACCTAATAGTCGCTTTTTAAGATTATTAAAAAATAAATTGCAACAGGTGAAGCATCCTTCGTGATTTCGCAAATTGATGCTCTTGCGAGTTTACATGTAGTAGCGTCCTTGACTTGCTCAAGCTACACGTTTGCTCACGAGAAAGGGTGGCCTGTAGCATCTTAATTTAAGATTAAAGTGCACGGCATTAAAATTTGGTTTACTATTTATTTCTACAGGTCGTATAGACCTAGGCTCCCTGCAGAGGTTAAATCCAAGCCACTACCGCATGCAACAAAACTGAGGTGGAAGTGTGTTTTGATATCACTGTGCTAACATACTTAAACCCCTTTACTGCTATCACGCACTTGTGCTGTTTCAATAGCAGTCTCGTCCACGCTAAAATCGCGTGCAGCACCCATATCGTGCTCAATGATCACCTTAGCTAGTGATAAATTTAGTATTGACAGGTCGCTTTCTTCAGCCTCATTGTGCACTTTGGTCATAGATCGCGACGTTTTAAGTGAAAGTGAGGGATTGATCTGCATGAAGCGCCACAATAACCCCACACCCACACTCATTGTATGAGTCATACCACACACGAGCTCGGCAATCTGCTGTGCCTTGCGCAAGACATCTTGCCGTTCGGCAGGATGGTTGGTCACCTGTCGCTTTAGGACCCAGTCTTTGATGCCATCTTCGTCACTCTTTGAAAGCATAGGAAGCGGTCCTCGACGCTTGGGCTCGTGAGAATTGAGTTTTTTTGCGGAAGCCAGGTATTTCTACAGCGTGCTATGTGCGATCTTCATTTATTTACCTGTTGTCTTTAGCTATGCGCCTACGAAAACGGCTTAGACGGTGAAATGGAGCTCTGCTTTGCTGTGTTTGGCTCATATTTTTCCCATGCTGGATGAGGATCGATGAGTGACGGAACAGAAGAGTGAACAGAGTATATACCACAGGAGTCTCCGATGGTTTCCGGTGGCTGAAAGTTCGCTAGCTGAATATTGACTAATTACGATCGTTGACAGTGGCGTAGTTGGATATAACAGGCTAAAAAGATCGAGGTTACTTAAGTAGTCGACGCTACAAAACAGACACTTTGCCTTAGTCTATCCGCGCTGGACATGTAGATGGCCACATTAGGGCCTCTGCTTGTTTCCACGTATTCAGTAAATACTATATACAACATAAGTGAGCATTCAAATGTGTCCAAAGATTAAATTCGCTCTTACTTTAGATGTGCATTTTGTGTGCCAAATGACCCATCTCTCCACCCCCATGTCCAAAACCCATATGTACAGTATGGCGGACAGAACAAGTTACTTTGGGATACGTGGTATTTAGGCAAAATAGGTCGCTCGCGATTGTAAATGGGCTTAATATGAGCAGAACTGTCTCCTCTTTCCAATCATGCGCGCTCCAGTTTGGGGCTACCAAAAATATAAGAGCGACGGTCAGCCGTCAGGCCTGTGCACCAGTGTGAGCTACCACAAAAGTCCGTGTGAGGAACTCTTTGGCCCTGTTCAGGATCCACAGGTGGCCTCAGCTGTCATGACACCGACCTCCTTCTCCAGAGTGACTGATAGATGCGATTTTTTTTGCCAGCCACACGTTGCGCTTTACGGACATCGTCAAACATAGGGAATACTAAGTCGGCATCCCAAATTGGGCGAAGGGCAGACATTCCTGCCAGTGGGACAGCATGTCGGCTGCGTGTCAGGACAGCAGCTACATAAACGGTCTCACGCGTGCCAGCAATACACAATATCCGTCCAAACATTATTGGCGCCTGCAATGTGCTCAATCGTGTAATGCAGATCACAAGGTCGCATGACCCAGCGTTGAAGACGATCTCTGCCATGCTTCATAAGCGCCTCGTGAGGTGCAAAGATGTACATTAAGCTGGCGTGATCACAGTAAATACGTAATCCTATTGGGCGGAGCAGTAAATACTCCAAGTCCTGACACGCCTTCACGATAGAGTTAGCCTTTTTTTTTCACAATAGTCCAATTGAGCTCATTGTGATTAAGATATGCCGCCTTTGCGGATAACCATCTCATACTGCTTGACTACAAGAAGCTTCAGGCCACAGTTAAGTACCTGCGTCACCACGATAGAATATTTCGTCGGACAAGCGTCCGTAAACGTAACAGATCAGCTTCCGGATTAGGCGACACCATGAGTACCGAATCTTGGACCATCGAGAGTATTGCCCCGTAGGAAGTGGGTTTAGGCCCTGTCCACACGGTAGCCACATTGAGCGCACTACGCCTACGACCACTTCTTTTCCACAGCTATTCTCTCTTGGAGATCATGTAACGGGGTAACACGCATGTGGCCACACATAGCCAATTGGTTACAAAAAAGGCTTTCCACATTGGTGTGAGAAACACCAACGGTTACATTTGGTAGACTTTGCATTTAGGACATTCATTGGTATCTTCAACCAATTAGAATAGTAGGATTTTGTCAACCTTTCGTTGATAAATACCTTTCATTTAGAATATTAGATAGAAGAAAACCCCAAACAAACAAATAGACAGCTCTCATCTACCGGAAATCGGCTTTGTTTTCCTATTTAGGTAAACCTGTACTTTCGGACGAAAGTATAGTTAATTTAAGTGAATCGCAACTTACGCTTCCTCGTACACGTGCGCTAACGTGTAAGCCGGAGTAGTGGGCTTAAATCAGGCCCATAACACCTGGTAGGACTTTGTAGCCCATCCGACGACCGACTAAGAGACGAGCTCGTATGGAATACGAACATGAAGCGGAGAGCCAGCCCATGGACGGTAATCCGTCCATGCGTAGCCCAAGTGCTTCTGCCACGCACATTGTTCGTGCAGACCTCCCCCATCTGGCGGATCCAGAGTGGGAAGCTCTTCAAAGACTGTCAACACTCATTGAAGAGACAGCGGTAGCGACAATGCTACGTACGCTGTCACCGACAGAGCAACGCAATGCTGCTCTGGGATTCATCGTGAGCGAGCTGTGTGCTGCGGCTACGAAAGTGTCGTCCAAGACGACACCGCGCGTGCAGATGTTGAAACTTCACGTGAGTAGCTATGTGGGGAAAGAAAGCGAGCCACATCTCCGATGGCTTGTCGAAGTCGACACTCCCATAGGAGCTCGTCATATCACTGACGAACTCTCAAAGGCTATGTTCGCCACGTCATGTCTTGGCGGACGAAGGAGGAGCTGGGCGTTTGGCCGCCGGCTCGCAAATCATACGTGCTTTAGCACGTATGCGATATTCAAGTAGGAAATCAGACAAGCTTTTGAGCCCCTCAGAGTCGAGAGCAGAGTTTCTCGATCTGCAGCAAGGTAAGCGTGACGCTCATGCTTACGCCCAACGTGCGCGGTACTTGGTCTCAAACATCATACAATAAAAAAACGTGCAGAGCCAGTAGGCGCGGGGGGCCCTTCTGGTATTGCAGTCGCGCGTGTCTACAACGTACATGCGACACTGAGGACTGCAGCCCCAGCGAGAGGGATTCTCGCTGCAAGAAGCAAGGTGACAAGCCAAATCTTGTCATCCTGAAAGTGACGTTGAAGAGAGCAGGCTCTCTTCGTGCTTTGGTCGACTCAGGTGCGTCGAACAACTTTGTTCGACTGGAAAGTCTCCCGAAGCTGAACTTCGAGAAAGTTAAACCACCTCGAAGATTTTTGGAGATGCGGTTGGCAGCAAGTGCCGCCGTCAAAACGGAGAAGCCCGTAGTACGCGTGCGCTTCTCGTACAAACGCCGGGTGTTTGTAGAGAAATTTATCGTTCTGGATCGGGACGATAAGTTTAATTTAGGTTTGGGCATGCCGTGGCTTGCACGGCATGATCCAGTGATCAACTGGGAGAAGTGTACACCTGTACACTTCGGACGCAACGCGACAAAGCGCGATGGTCCTGTCAGTGTCGCGCATGCAACGCGAGGTGCATCCAATCCCACCGTTGAGACAGCAGCTTACGATGCAGCCTCCGGTGTCCATTCACAAGTCGTAG